TAACTTATAGGTAAATGGTGCATTCATTTCAACGTGAAGTATTGACTTCGCCAGGTTATGTTGGGTCATTTTAATGTTAAGTGTTGACTTAGTTATGTAGGGTCATTTTAATGTTAACTGGGTCACGTGTTGTTGCTGCAAATATTATACGGTATAACTTATAGGTAAATGGTGCATTCATTTTAATGTTAGGTATTGACTTCGCCAGGTTATGTTGAGTCATTTTAATGTTAAGTGTTGCGTGGGACGTTATGCCAATTTTAAAAGAAGAAAAAGTAACATCAGATTTTTTTTTTAATCTAATAAAGAATACATACATACATAACGTCAATACGTTGATACAAAGAAAATAGAGCCAGTGTGTAAATTACAAGGGCTTTTTCAGCGCTAGAGGGTGGGGAAGGGGTCTTTTTGTGTCAAAAGAACGCGGAAGTTTTCTTCCACACAAAGAATGCGATTTACTTTGGTCTAAATTAAATTGTAAGTCGAAAGTTTTCAAAACTTTAGTGGACAAACACAAATGTTCGATAAAAATCAGAAGATAATGGACATTTTTAAAATATTGGGGTAGTCCTTCGATCCACACCCATCCTTCATTCCTAGCTACGCCCCTGAAGTTATTACTGGATTTATTAAGTTACAAATAACCAGGTATTGAAATAATTATGTACATTTGACTTCTTAAGTGTTAGTAGCAGTTACGTACTTTGTGAGCAGATTTTTTTTTTTCCAAGAAACTTTGAGTCAGAAATAATAATTAAAGCAGTTTCGGGTGGATTTTAAAACCACATGTAAGCGTGAAAACATTGGCCAAAGCTATGGGAAAAAAGAAGCTTCTGCTGAATGTAGATGAATGTCTGTAATATAACCTTTCTTTAGTTTGTCATTTATATGGATACGCGTTTCTGTTCTTTAAATAGAAAAGTAATAAAATGGTTACGGTCAGTAAACATTATTGTTAAAGTCAGTAAACATTCTTGTTGTAGTATTCTACACTCTGGTGTTTGAGATAGGAAGTTTTAATTTCTTTTGATAGATAAATAATATTGGTCGGGCATGGAAATTTAGAAAATTAACTCGCTTCCACATGACAATTACATTAATTTATTAAACCAACACATTTCTTTATCGCCTCCAGGTGGCGTAGCGGTCAGTTTGAGGGCTAATAACGCTAAACATAGAAGTTCATAATAATGTTAAATATGTAGGGGAAATTAACGTTTGAGTTGGCTTTGTTCATTGCATAAAGCTTACGAATTTAAAAAGAAACAGAAGCCGTAAAGACAATGTGTAAATCTTTCAAGCGAGTAACTGTTTGTTTGTTATTCAGCACAAAGTTACACAATAACCTATCTGTAGCTCGCCCACCAGGGGATGAGTTTAGAATACACACACTATCAATATAGTAACCCGAGCGAAAATGTGTTAGTCATATAAATATTTAAAGCAGCCAAAAATAACTACTTAACATCATTTCTATGCAAATTTCGATCTAAAAATTTCAAGTGGAAAAATCGAACTGGTTATATGCACTCCCCGCCCTTGGTATTGCTGGCGCACAAACATACAACTATTAAAAAAGGAAAAATAATAATCTCATAGATTTTTTACTCTAATCCTACCTAAAAGAATTTCAAGTGCCGCGGCTATTGAGGATTCCCTCTTGTTTTTTAGATATTTAGGACTTTTGGCCTCGGTTAATCACTATCAAATCTGCTTATTTGGTTTCCTTAGTTTTGGTGAATTACGCAATGAATCTCAAAACAAAATGAATAAATAAATAACATGTTGTATACGTAAGACAATGAATATTAGAAAGTATACATGAAGTTGTTTGAGTGTTCAGAGATTTATTCAGCTTCGAGTTTTATCTCCGATAACTTTATCTATGGTGGTGCCATCTAGTGAATCATATAGAACTTTATATAAGGGAATTGTTGAAATTTTCTTGGATCATTGTAAGTTTCTGCTACGTTAAGTTGAATGTTTTTGAAATAAAAGTAATTAGATTTGAATCAGTGTACCAGTTACATAAGTATTAAAATAACCAAAATGTCTTTTCAAGTCATTAATCGTATAGGAATTAGAAATTTTTAAATTGTACAATCCCTCTAGTGGCAGTTTTATATTAACTACACCAATTCTCATATAAAAAGTATAACTTATATACTTTTTTTGCTAAGCAGCATGACATAAAGCTATTGTTGGAACGGATTGTTGCCAAAATGCACTAGTTTTTTTATATATTAGAGGTCCGACATGGCGAGGTGGTTAGAGTGCTCGACATGCAATATGCGGGTCGTGCACTCGAATCCCCGTCCAACTAACCATGCTCGCCCTTTCAGCCGTGGGGGCGTTATATAGTGACGGTTAATCCCACTATTAGTAAAAGAGTAGCCCAAGAGTTGGTGGTGTGTGGTGATGACTAGCTGCCTTCTCTCTAATCTTTCACTGCTAAATTAGGGACGGCTAGTGCAGATAGCCATCGTGTAGCTTTGTGCCAAATCCATAACAAACCATATATTAGAAGTTGTAATATAAGGAACCACTTCTTTTCTATGTGTTTTTTTTTTTGCTAGCTTGCCTCATTAAAAATATGCGCACGGGCATGCGCTCGCACGTGGTTAAGTAATAAAACCCAGATGCACACCCTCAGGATCCACTTATTCTATGTATGCAAGATTTCAGGTTTCTAGATTCTTTCTTATTGGAGCTATGCGGTCATACACATACAGACCCACAGACATGCCCTTTATTATTATAGACTACAGTATATTTCAAACTGTGTTTCTAAAACTCTCTTGTATCAGTTTCATATTAGACCTCTATTGATGTTTCTTTGTGAATTATAGAGATTATTTATTTTACAAGCCATCAAACGTATTCTAGCAGTCCTTACGAAGACGGTAATTATTGTGTGTGAGTTGTTTGAAAGAAAGAAGAAATCTAATTCCATATTGATATAATTCTTGAAAACAGTATGCCTTTCTTTTCAGTATTGGTACCTTTATGTATTTTTATTGCACTTTTAATGTTTATTATGTTAATAAAAAAATAGAAGCACCATTTCCTAACCTTTGGAACAAACGAATTTAAATTTCACCCGTCCAACGGATTGATACTCCAGCTAGTATGTAATAAAGTAGACTTTGTTTTATTATTAACTTGTTTGTATGCATTATATGTGTATCTTACTATACCTCCGGGTTAGTTTAAAGCTCATTCAATCACACAAGTACTATTTACATTTTTCGGACCATTAACTTAAAAATTATTATTACTATTATGTAAGTGACCACATTTACTATTATTAAAGACGTCATTAATAAGATCGAAGTATTTTCTGAACGCCATCACAGTTGTGATAAAGTAAAACAAAGCCTGCTAAACAGTTACATCGGTTTTTAATGGTTTTTAGTTATATCGCACAACTAGTTGACTTCCCACGGACAAAAGCCACGAAAAAAAACAAAAACAAGACACTTCTATTTGTAAAAGAACAAGATGTTAAAAGTAAGCGTTAATAATTGATGTTATTCTTTATTGTTGTTATAAAGATTATATAACATTGTTAACTCTGTATATAAAGTTATGATTAACCTAAATCTCCTAGGCTGGCAGAGCTTCATAAGATATTATTGGGATTAATGCCGAAGGTCCATATAGGTAGCTTGTTTTTATCACAAGTTGGTGTTATCTATAA